ATAAGTTGACAACTTCTCATATTTATTATTTTTAATTTTTTTTCATGTTTAAATATGACTCAATCAATAACATCAGCATCATTGTACATATAATTACTAAAATTTTTTTAGGTATATCGGCAAAGATGCAAGAGTACCTTTATCACTGTGCAATGTACCGTCCCTGAACGCGCGAACTTTAGACTACCTGATTTGTCTATTATAAATGCTCCCCATTTGAAAAGTATTATAGCCTCGACATTTTCGTATTAGGATTTTTGTCTTACTTTTTGCTCAGAAATACGCTATTAAAATTTCGGTCACGAGTTGCGGTACACCCTGTATATTAACACTTATATTATTTTGTACATATGTACATTTTTCCTTCAATTTCAGGCCGACAGGATTTCAATCAAGTTTTATAATCAAACATCAATCACAAAGTGAATCTATTACTACCAATTTAGAATCATCATACGAATCACCTGATAAACCTAGGTTACTTTTAATGATGTGGTACGCGCGTTATGGTTTCATATGATACGGAATGGAGTACGAGAGGTGCAGGACGAAATTATGACAGCTTAAATGGCTTTGGAGCTATTATTGGAAAAATGAGCGGCTTGATTTTGGATTATTCGACATGCAATAGAAAATGTAAGAAATGTGACGCAAACAGTAAAGTACCAAATCATGATTGTCGTAAAAATTTTGATGGTTCTGCCAAAGCAATGGAACCCTACGTAGCCAAGAAACTTGTAACCGATAGCTCCATACTTAAGTCTCAAAATATTGAGGTTGGAGTTTTAATAGGAGATGATGACAGCTCTACCATTGCAGTATGTCGAGCTGCAAGCGATCATCCGATTATCAAACAGTCAGATGTCAGTCACACTGCAGGCGGAGTTAAAAACGATTATATGGTATTCAGAGGAACCATAAAGAGCTAACAAAAAATTGCATCACATATCTCCACATAGATGCTTCACGTACGCTATGGCGCAGAACAGAGGTAACAGTAAAGCTATGGCTGATGCGGTACGTATCATATCTCGTCATGCGTTTAATGATCATAGTAAATGCGGACCATGGTGTGTATGGGGCTTACTTCGCTTAATTCTATGTTCGGAACGCCCAAGGATGTGGATCGCAAGGAAGGAAAGTAACTCTTTGGACTCTTTCTTTTTTTAACGCCTCATGGCTTAGGATATATATTTAAAGAAATAGGAAATACGGTACATGGATTATATACGTCGAGGAGTGTACGGAAAGTGTTGGCTCTTTAGAGCCTGGCCACCGCGCTTTTTGGTCTGCGTAAAGGCGTCGCGCTTACTGACCCGCGGGACGGAAGTGGGAACCCTCGGCAGAGGGATCGGATCTGTTTGGGTACCGAAGTCGCAGAGTGTCGGTACGGTTTGTGTCATCAGACTACGGAAGGTCCTAGGTGGAATATTCTCCACGTAGTCTGATGGGGACAGGACGGCTCGTGGAGTGAGAGGCCTGGAACGCTTTGGTGTCCCACAGATGGGAACGGGCGAAGGTGTCCGCGGTGTACTGGGCCTCTTGAAGAGAGTCGGAGACGGAGTCCGTGGATCCGGAGATGGAGCTCGAGGAGTTGGAGAGGGAGTTCGTGGATCCGGAGATGGAGCTCGAGGAGTCGGAGAGGGAGTTCGTGGAGCCAGAACCTCTTTAGACTCGTCGTGCGTCCGTCGTCGTTTGAGGTACTGGTCCAAGGGGATCGGACGCGTCTTTCTATGGATAGGTAGACAGTCGTCCTGTCGAGGCGGAGGTGGCCGTTCGGATTTCCAGGATCGGGATTTCTTACTTCTGGAATCAGTGTCTATAAAGAAAGTACAGAGTTAGTATTTCAATATGTTACTCCGAGTCTATGCGTTTTACGCAGATCTCCACTCACGATGCAGCGATTTACGCTTTGTTGGCGAAACCATGGCGCCTTGGAGATAAAGCGATCTAGCGCTTGCTGTGCGGCTCGGGCGCACGAGTAGAGCGACTCAGCGCTTTGAAATCGAAGTGGAGCGACTCAGCGCTTTATGTTCCCGAGGGAGAGCGACTTAGCGCTTTATCGAAGTAGAGCGACTCAGCGCTTATATTCCCGAAGGAGAGCGACTCAGCGCTTGTATTCCCGAAGGAGAGCGACTCAGCGCTTGTATTCCCGAAGGAGAGCGACTAAGCGCTTGTATTCCCGAAGGAGAGCGACTAAGCGCTTTATATTGCGTCTAGGGCGCAAGAGACAGCGGCTAGCGCTTGGTACGTGGCGACTGAGCGCCGAAGTGAAGTGAAAATGCTCGCATTTTCCTCCCTTATATCCTGGTACTCACCAAATTTTACTCCCGAGAGACTGCGCGGCGTAGCGGCGGCGCCGCGAACTAGCGCGGCCGCTCAGCGTGGGGCTAGCGCCAGGCGCTTACGTTGGGGGCCGGGCGCCCTGTGCTACGCGTCAGGCGTGACCGCGTGGTCGCGGGGGGGCCCGGCGCCTGTGGCTGCCGTAGGCCGCCACAGTGTGGTATTTTATTCAAAACCAGGAGAACTATGATCACAAAATAATACCAGGAGGATTTCATGATCCACAGCTGTTCTCGGCGCTTCAAGAAATATTTGGTAAATTAGCGGACAATGCAGAAAAATATTCAACAGGTGCATCTAGCAACGTAAATGAAAGTCTCAATGCCACAATGGCAAGCAAAGCTCCGAAATCCAGGTGTACTACACACGGTACGTCTGCGTCTGCCGACTTTCGATTTGCGTGTGCTGTTGGCCAAAAAAACATCGGGGAATGTTACACGCAAGAAATAGCAAAGACTGTAAATTTGTCGCCAGGTAGACATCATTCGCAACACGTTTCAAAAGTACAAAAGACTGCAATAAAAAGACGAGCACTAATAACATCTGCTTTCAAAAAAAGACGAATGGCTCTGAAGAAGTTGAGAACAGCCTTACGCTATAGAAAAGAAAATTCTGAGGGTGTTACATATGAGAGTAACTGTGCTTTACTCAGTGAACCAACAGTGGAACTCGAGAAACATTATGAAATAGACGTGGAAGAAGAAGATATAAACGATGAGAACGCCATTATTCTGCTGGATTTGGAAACCTCGGGCTTAGAAATGAATTGCGACATTTTACAGATTGGTGCGAAATATAACAAAAACAGTTTTTCAATTTATATTAATCCCGTTAGAGATATTTCCGAGAATGCTACTCGACCCAATGGGCTTACAAATAGCTATGGAGAATTGCTGTACCATGGAACAAAAGTTCAATCGGTACCTATAAGAGCAGCCTTATTAGGATGCCTACAAGATTGGTTGACGTCGCTTGGAAAACGGTGCTACATTACTACCCACAATCTCACCTTTGATGGTCCCAGATTGCTAAAAGCTATCAGTAAATATGGTTTGGTCAGTGAATTTTCTGAAGTGATATATGGGTTTATTGATACACTGAATGTTATAAAAAATATTACTGGTCGGAAAGGTAAAGGTCAATGCTCGATTAGCGGATTAGCGAATTGGTGCAATAACTCCACACTTGGAGCACACACAATGCTCTGCATGACTGTGAAATTCTGCAAAAAATTCTGCACAAGTTGAAAATCACAAAGGAGACATTATTAAAGCATTCAAAAACTTTCACCAAACGGATAGACAATTGGAATTCATTAGAAAAAATGAATAGAATTTTATGGACCCTAACACCTCTGCAACATGTGGGATTATCAATACGTAAAAAATTGGCGATGGCTGAAATCGATATAAATATGCTAAAAAATTCTTACGAAACTTCTGGTCCTGATGGGGTTTCTAAATTGCTTCAAAACAAAATGAAAAATAAATCGCTGCAAAAGCTTCAAGAGTCATCGATAAAAAAAATAATTGAATCTGTCGAAAAGGATATTAAACACACAAATTAAGCCAAATTTAATCTAATTAAACGGTTTTACCTTTTTATATTAATAGATATAAATCTTCTAATTGTTCCTATGTTATTTATTATATTTATCTTTGTTCAGTAATTTTCTGTTTGTCCTTTGAGTTATTTTATCATTTGTGTTACTAGTGGATATAAGAATAAAATTGTTGATGTTATTCTGTCAAATTATTGCTTTTTCCATATCATTTATTATATTCAGTTATAAGATTTGGTTTCCGTGTTTGAGCTGCGTGCATTCTTTATCTGTTTCCGACGTTTCTAACATTTATATACACCACGAAAGCCTCAAATATAAAATTTACTCTGTTGTTTATCAAAATTATTTAATTTTTATTCTTGTTCTCTAAATGAAAACAATACAGGTAAAACGAGACTTTACGACGTGACTATATACTGTATCGGTTAGGTACACTATTCGTTTGACACGTTCAGCTGATTGCGACGTTGCCGCACTTCTACAGTCCAGTAATTGACATATTACAGAAACCGCAAAATTATCATGAATAATAATTAATTTCTCCTAAACCGTGTTGTGAAACCTAATCGAATTTTGCACAAAGTTCCAATAATCCATGGTCTATATGTATAAAAAAAATTAAAATTTTGGTACTATTTTTTCTATACTTTTCTATACTGTAACGAAGCTCCAACTCCTCCCGGTACTGTATTCCGGACAGGACTCCGAAATACTTTATTACTCCGCGGAACTTAATCAGACTCGCGGTTCTGGATTATCGGTGGAGGAGTTAGCGTTCTTTCGGTCGGTGTTTGACGTGCTGTGTGTCGGTTGTAACGATGCACCCCGAAGCCGCATCGTTCCCCGGCTAAGACCGCCGGATGCCGCCGATCAAACGATCCGGCGAAGGGCGGGCGTCTTACGCCCGCCGCCTAATCGCCCAAGCACCGGCCGGTCGACGAGCCGCGAACGCTCGCCGAAACGACCCGCGCCGAAACCCCGCGGAACCGGCCGAAGCCGTCTACCCGACGTGCTCCGTACCGCGCCGAGGGGCGCAAGCGCGCCACCCCGCCACGCGCCGCCCCGCCACGCGCCAAATTGGCGGCGCCAAAATCGGCGGAAACAATATAAAAGGGCAAACGAACGCCGAAACGACAGATTCCGCCGCCGACCAGCTCGAGAGCTCGAAGGCAATCCACACCCGAATCCTCCCGCTGTTCCTACGACCGAGTCGTTGGGGTGGAGCGTACTCCGCCTCCATCGGGGCCTCCCGATCAGAGTCGGTTCGGAACAGTTCCTAACAACCGACCGCCCGGATACAAAGGGGGTGAGGTGTTCCTCGCCTCCAGCAGGACTTACTGCTGTCCGGACGGCCGGTCTCCGTCTCTCTTTCGAGTCAGGGGCAAGGGGGATAGAGCGTGCTCTGCCTCCGCCAGGTTCTTGCCGGCACCCCGCTCGATCTCCCGTGGTCGTAACGTGGAGCGACCAGCCCGGAATCTCCGCGCCGAACCGAACGCGTCCGCGCTCGCCGCGCTCGCCTGCCGGCCCGCGCCGCCGAGACACCGAGCGCGAACCGCGCGCCCGACCGCGCTTGTAAATAACTCTGTAATATACCGCTTGTAAATACTTCTGTAACATACC